AGTTAATTCATCATTCCAGATGCTCCTGGAAGACACATGGGGAGTAAACAGGTGCACCAGCTGGACCAATGCAGCAAAAGACCAGGTTAATTCTTGTTAATTTTCAATCAAACTGTATAAAATAGGCATCAAAATTAGGGATCGACCGAGATTTTTTTTTTTAGAGCCGATACCGATAATCTGTGAACTTTCAGGCCGATAACTTACCGATACTCTGTACATTTACAATATAAAAAAAAAATAAAATCTTTCTACACAAATCACTGTTAACTGAACACTTTTTTTGCAAATTTTTTTTTATTAAGGTAAATGCACAAAATATACATGCCAGTCAAATTTTTTTATTTTTTTTTAAGAATATGTGTGTGCAGTGAGAGTATTTGATTAGTGAAGGCAGTGTGTGTGTATAGTGGTAACCCGTGGCAACACTGACAGCCGGGGAACCCTCCTATTTCAGGTTCCGGTTTCCGGCGGGACTGAAAGGAAGTGTGCACACTTCCTTTCAGTCCCGCCGGAAACCGGAACCTGAACCTGAAATAGAAGTTCCTGGACCGCGGAGCGCGCTGTGAAGCCGGCCAAGACAGGTAAGTAATTATGGGACAAGGGGAGGGGGGGAGACACTATGGGAGAAAGGGAGGGGAGACACTATGGGACAAGGGGAGGGGGGGACACTATGGGACAAGGGGAGGGGGGACACTATGGGACAAGGGGAGGGGGAGACACTATGGGACAAGGGGAGGGGGAGACACTATGGGACAAGGGGAGGGGGAGACACTATGGGACAAGGGGAGACGGAGACACTATGGGACAATGGCAGAGGGGGCACTATGGGAGGGAAAGTGCACTATGGGACAATGGGAGGGGGGACACTATGGGATCAGAACACTAATGGACAAGGGTAGGAGGGGTTAAAGAACACTATGGGACAGGGTAGGAGGGGTTAAAGAACACTATGGGACAGGGGAGGAGGGGTTAACAATCACTATGGGACAGGGGAGGAGGGGTTAACAATCACTATGGGACAGGGGAGGAGGGGTTAACAATCACTATGGGACAGGGGAGGAGGGGGTTAAAGATCATTATGGGACAGGGGAGAAAAAAAAAATATTCTGAACAAACTGTCCCATAGTAAGAAACACTATGGAACAGTTTATTCAGAATATTTTTTTTTTCTGGGTTTCCTCCTCTAAAAACTAGGTGCGTCTTATGGTGAGGTGCGTCTTATGGAGCGAAAAATACGGTACTTTATTCATTTGAAAAAACAAAATCTGAGGACTTGCTGCTTAAGATTGACGTTCCCCAAGTCTTTTTGCTGATGTAACTGCCACCAGAAAAACAATTTTCTAGGTAAGGATGTTGAGATTGCAGTCTTCTAAAATCCTTTGCAAATGCCCATTGGAGGAATTATGGAATTTTTGGAAGAGAGGTTGAAATTGGATTTTCATGCATTCCCTGGTACCAAGAAGAGAATTTTGTTATTCTGAAAGAAAGGTCTTCTGTCAGAAACAGGTCTTACACCAACAGAAAATTCTTATTGTGCTTGGCCAAATTTTCATCAATTGGTCTAGGGAAGATGTTCCTCCACCCATTCGGTCATAATATTTCTCTGTAGAAGCCTTATTTTTGCCTTGCCCAAGCTGATGGCTGCAATGGTACTGTTAGAGGCCCAAACAACTTCATTGCTTCCCTTAAGGTACTGACCTTTTTTGTTTGCAGAACCATAATAGACCTTAAGATTTTGGTTTTATTTTCTGCTGGAAGAAATACTGTAGACCTAAAAAAGAGAATAGATCTTGTGGGAACCAATTCTGATTTTTCTTAATTTAAAATCCAGCCCTGCATTTAGGCAGATGGAGGTTATGTTAAGGTCTCTTAAAAGAAGTCATCCTAAGGATGCTAGGAGAAGCAAATCGTCTAAATATGGAACAATATGGAGACTTTATTTTCTTAAAGCAGCCGTGATGACTACTAGGACTTTGGTAAACACTGGAAGGGCTGAGGACAGACCAAACAGGAGCACTCAATTGTAAATGCCGTGATTCTTTCCATTTGATACAGAACCTCAGGAACGTTTTGTTTGTTTCAACAATGGGAAAATGTAGATAGGCATGCTTGAGGTCTAGTGAACTTAAATCAAGCTCTATCTTGAATAATGTGTGCTGTGGATTGTATGGTATCCATACAGATTTGTTTCCTGGTGATGAAACAATGGACTTCTTTAAGGACTAGGATGGGTCAGTATGACCCACCTGGCTTTTGAACTTAAAAAAAAAAAAGGAAGGCTCCTGAAAAATATTCTACAAGAGGAAGTTCTTCTATCACATTTTTCTTTAACTAATCCTGTACTTCCGCAAACAAAGCTAAAGCAGTTTTGGGTGAATGGACTGACTAGCAGAAAAATCTTCTTGTAGGAAAGTCATTGAGCTCTAATCAGTATCCTCTTGTCCCGGACCCAGTTGTGGTTCTTCCTTCTACTGCTTTGCATCATAACCTGCCATCTTTAATTTTTTCCAGCAAATTTTGCTTTTTTTTTATTTATATAATCAAATGGTTATCTTGAAAATCTTCTTTGTGTAGGTCCATGAAAGGAATCTCTATAAGAATACCTGTTTCTATAATAGAAATTCTTATTTCACCACTCCTCTTTTGGTCTTCAGGCAAGGTATTTTACCCTTCTGCCATCTGTTTTAACAGATCATCGAGGTGAAACCCAAAAAAATCTACTCTGCTCAAAGGAAAGGGAAGATCACAAAGATAACGCTAAGCCCGTCAACCGATTTCTGAGCCAAACTGCTCGTCTGGCCACAGTGGCAAGGCCCATAGATTTGGATGATAGTTTAAGCGCCTTAAAAATGCAAAGAAACCATAAAAGGTAAAAGCAAAGAGTCTTGCCTAAAAGCCTCTGAGAGTGCTGGAGGGCTTGTTAGTGCACACAAGTACAACAAGTAGTTGTTTGAGAATTTATAGCCTCCATTGCCATGGAAAATTGAACTTGCCGCCTAAATTTTAGAGATCAAATTGCGCATGCAAATAGAGCGCCACAATCTCCTGGCACGCATCACAACCTGCATGTGCTTAAAGGAGCACTATAGTGCCAGGAAAACATACTCGTTTTCCTGGCACTATAGTGCCCTGAGGGTGCCCCCACCCTCAGGGACCCCCTCCCGCCCGGCTCTGGAAGGGGGAAAGGGTTAAAAACTTACCTTTTTCCAGTGCTGGGCGGAGAGCTCTCCTCCTTCTCTCCTCCTCCGTTCCTCCTCCTGGACTGAATGCGCACGCGCGGCAAGAGCTGCGTGCGCATTCAGCCCGTCGCATAGGAAAGCATTTACAATGCTTTCCTATGGACGCTTGCGTGTTCTCACTGTGAAAATCACAGTGAGAAGCACGCAAGCGCCTCTAGTGGCTGTCAATGAGACAGCCGCTAGAGGAAATAGGGGAAGGCTTAACCCATTCATAAATATAGCAGTTTCTCTGAAACTGCTATGTTTATGAAAAAACGGGTTAATCCTAGAAGGACCTGGCACCCAGACCACTTCATTAAACTGAAGTGGTCTGGGTGCCTAGAGTGGTCCTTTAAGACACACCTTCCATTTCCTGCATATGCCATAATGGGAAGGAGTGTTAGGAGGGGCTTAACTGTCAATTTTAAAATGTGTGCTTTCCTTTTACAACATGGTGGATATTCCTGTTGTGCACTGTCTTTAATCTGGAGGGAAAAATCATGGTAAATATACAATTGCTATGGTAGAGGTGTTTGATGAAAGTTTGAAACTGTCTCAAAACCAGATTTGTTGCTCTTAACTTTCAAGATTACATATTTAAAAAGCATACAGTATACAAAGCAAATACACATAAGCATGGCAGTGGGTAAAATAAAGTATGTTATACAGCACATGGAGCTTACAATGCTTTCCACATAATACAGGTCATGTTTGAAATGGAGCGTTAAAACAAAAGTAGAAGATACACAAATCAAGTACATAACTAGGACAGACAGCATGGAACTGGAGGGAAAGAGATGAGCAGGAATAGTTACAGCAAGCACTTTCCCTAGTTAGTATTGTTATTGGCAAGTAAGGAGGCAGGCAGGTAACATACAAGATTGCTTATGGGGTCCCTCAAATCTTTCCTGTAGCACCTTTGTTAAATACATAGCAACCATGCATGACAGATGTGGGAATAGTAAGAGATGCCAGAAACATGGTGGCCGGGCTCATGCATACAGGAATCCTACCTGTTCTTCTTTGTTTCGAGACTTGCCTCCTCCTGCAGAATTTGGCCTGCCTCCATAGATAGCTGTCAAGTTGCACAGTGCATCCTGTTCACCATTTAATGTATCAAGTGTAAGAATTGTGGGGGCTACAACAAAGTATATAGGCCTGCAAAAATCAACCATTTCACTGCATATATCACTGACCCCCAAACTGTCTACGTACCACTGTGTGGTGTGACATTAGCAATAAAGTTTCATTTAATGGAATTGGGAACAATTTTAGGTTGATGATGCACCATGTTACAGAGCACGAGACATTTTCATGATAGTCACTTTGAAAAAAGTTTGCATGCTTACTCCGAGGTAATTTGGGGTAAACTAAAACTGTCAAACATTAAGAACAGTTGATTAAGACAAAGAAGGTGTGACAATCAGAAAGAAAAAAAAAAGTAAGAGGACTCGCACAACATCGTTCAGAACGCACTGATTCTATGGTAGAATAAAGGTTTGGACAAACATGTACACGTATATTGATCAGCTTGTCGATACAATAGCATTGTTATGGGCATTGGTAGTTAGACCAAAAGGGAAGCACTGATGAAATCATATAGCACATGAGGAACAGTTATTATGAATGATAAATGAATATGATCAATGTATACAGCAGTTAGGTTTTATATTCCTTATCTGAGGGATGGGCAACCTGGAAGGCCCTACAGTTGTGAATTACATTTTCTACGATCGGGAAGCATTTAGATTGGTTGAGCATCATGAAAAAGGTGGTTCACAAAAATGTGGGCTGCCAGGTTAGCCATTCCTAACCGACCATCAATTTACAGTTTTAAGTATCAATGTCTCTAGCTTATAATTTAAAAAAAAAAAAAAAAAAATTGTTTTGTTTTTTTTAAAAAGATAATTCAATTAGAAGAATTAGAATATTCGGTAAACATTTTACATGTTAATTTAAATAGAAATGCAATCCAGCTATATTCAAGCCATTAAAATGAGCCTTAGAATTTTAAGCAATGTTTACCCAAAAAGACTAGAAAATATAAAAAAAAAAACATATTATGGACATTTAATTGCCACATTGCAATGTGAAGTATAAATAAGCAAACACTGCTGTTAGAAGCAATATAGAACCTCCTAGGCATTAGCAAGATTATTTACTAAAGTGTGCATACAAAGTGAATGTCAAATTAAAGGTCCAAAAAACTGAACTAGAAGCATTCTCTAAATCAGCTATGCTTTCAGTTTGGCTTCTTTGGTTTTAATTTCTTACTTTAGTGAATAAACTCTGTAAGTAATAGAAACCATTTCAATAATAAAGATTAAAGCACCTAAATACTATGATGTGAGTGAAGACCAATAGCTAGTTCTCCGAAGTGATGCAGCAAATCATTTTAACTACCAATTTTAGAAATGGTCAATACATCTCCTTTTATGCATTTTTGCCAAGAACACCACAGGCAAATCTACAAATCAAACAACTGAAAAACACTCTATCAATGTCCATTTTCCTCTAACTCCAAACCTAATGCTTTCAGGCCTGAAAAGGTGTAGTTGAATGAATAGGTTCAATGATGTTTTCTGCAATGATAGCTCTAAGGTAGTTGTTATAATCAAAGATTTCACTAGTCAGATAACTGGGTAGTGAACATATTACAGTTATGTTCTAACATCAGAATATAAAGTGTAATGAATTCTATACCATATTTCCCTGAGCACGAGCTTTGTTTTCCATTGCTTCTCTCTTCCTTTGCCAAAACTCTTCCACCTGCCTGGCATTTTCTGCAGCAGCATGTCCTCTATGCCTACACACAAGGGCAAAAACATAGAAATAACCATACTTGCATTTAGGCATTATTGTAATGATACTTGGGTGATATTGAAGGTGAAAAGGATGTGGACTATAAATGTAAGAATTACAGGTTATAAAATGGAGTACTTACTTATTTGCAATTGCTTGTTTTGAAACCTCCTCCAACCTCTTCAATTCTTTCTTTATGGCATCACCATCAGGAAAGGCTATGCGAGGAGAAGGGCCATTGGGAGCCTCTGGTTTCACTGCAACTCTTTAGGTAAAAATGAAGTAGTCAATCAACCGGTTATTGGGAACAGTTAACACTGAACACATAGCAAGCCCAGAAGCTTGTACCTGCTAGCCTGGTCAGAGGACTCACTACTGGCTTTCAACTTGGCATCTCTTTCTTCTACTGCTTTAATGTGTTCTTTCTGCTTCTGCATCTGGTCAAGTAAGGAATGATAATGTTCGTAGGATACTCGAGCCACAGCCTGTGGTGGAGCACCTCCACCACCACCACCTCCTCCACCACCACCAAAACAAAATGCCTAAGAAAGCAACACAGGTTATCGAGAATATTACTTAGAGCAAGCAGCTCTCAAAAATGCATAAAGTCAGCTACACCTCGGTTTATTGTACCTCTCAACAACATTCCGAATCTCAAAATAATGCTACTAGTTATAGAAACCTAAAATAATGTGTTTCGTGCAAACATCCATCCATCACAAGTTAAAGTGTGATATTTTAAGAAAGACTCTGTCCACATTTGAGGCATGGAGGAAGGTGCTTGCTGCCTTTGACTCCATTCCACAAGCCTCATACACTGTTATAAGAGTTATTAGGGTTTTGAATTACTATTCTAATACAAGTTAAAGGACCACTGGGGAGAGGAAGGGGTTAAACTTACCTCTTTCCTCAGCGCCGAGTGGGGAGCTCTCTTCCTCCTCTCCGGCTGAATGTGCATGCGCGGCAGGAGCTGCGCGCGCAGCCAGCCAGTCTCATAGGAAAGCATTCATAATGCTTTCCTATGGACGCTGGCGTCTTCTCACTGTGATTTTCACAGTGAGAAGCACGCAAACGCCTCTAGTGGCTGTCAGTGAGACAGCCACTAGAGGCTTTAGAGGCTGGATTAACCTATTTATAAACCTAGCAGTTTCTCTGAAACTGCTAGGTTTATAAAAACATGGGTTAACCCTAGCTGGACCTGGCACCCAGACCCTTCATTAAGCTGAAGTGGTCTGGGTGCCTAGAGTGGTCCTTTAAGCTAAAAAAACCCAAAACCACAATAGAGTATGATAGTTATAAACTAGATCTACGATGCATGTGATATGCAAGTAAGCAAGCTCTAAATTGAAATCTTCATACTGGAGTGAAATCATAAGTCACAGAAATCATAAGTAGCAAGTCAGTTGGCAGTGAAAATACAAAAAAAAAAAAGATAACTTGTTGCGAAGTGTATTTGTGTAGGAAAACACAAACGGATATTTGAATAAACATCAGATATGAAGAAGTAAGGTTTCTTCCTCATATCTGAAATAAGATCATTAATGGATTTGAAAGAAATGGTTAGAGTTCTCTTTGTAACTAATTCATCAGCCTAAGAAAGCAACAAATAGTGCATAAATAAATCTATATACAAGATATATGTATAGTTAATACAATGTTAAAACAGAAATCTGCACACCAGTCCAGCCATAAGACTTGCTTTTCCCACAGGAATCACAAATTTGCAGTGATGTTACTACCGCAAAGGATTCTGGGTGGGCATATGCAAATTAGTTCAACAAAGAATTAAATATTTGCCTCATTCCATCTTAAACATGGATTACTTTGCGTCTGTGTTTACTGTATATAACAGCTTTGAAACACAACTGAAGAAAAGATGCAAAGCCAGTGAATCACTCATGGACAGCTGTTTCATTGTTAATGCAAATCAGCAGCATGAGGTTAGTTACTGGTTGTCTAGTGCGGCTTGGCAAGCAAAAACCAAAAAAGGTATGGTGGGGAAAATTTTAGTTTTTTGCTTCACTAGCACAGCCAAGGTGAGGTGAGGTGCCTGGACTCCCAAATATATAAATGAAAACCAAGAGGTCGGCACTCGCCTGGACATGCATACATTATAGGGTGCTACTGTGGCCAAAATATACAAAATACACAATGCAGCGCACTTGCTTATTCACTAAACAATGATTTCAAATCTTAGAGATTGTAATAGTTTTATGTAAAAACACCTCACCTAGGCAAAAAAAGATGGGGGTTTAGTTACATTATATGATCATATATTGCATAAGCCTTCCAGAACATCACCCTTGGTTTTGCACCCCTCCCTGTCACATGTGCCTCATTCCAGGGCCCTATTTAGCCTTGAGTTGCAGAGAGTCCCAGTAAGGAAGTATTTCCAAAGTAAGTGGATTAATTTCATAAGAGCAAGCATTAGGTTGCTAGAGTAGGACCTGCCAAGAATGGGGTACATTGACGTTGTGGCAGGCTTATGCGATGTATGATCTAAATATAATGTAACTAAACCCCCATTATTTTTTGCCTAGGTGAGATGTTTTTAAATAAAAACTATTACAATCTGTAAGATTTAAAATCATTGTTTAGTGAATAAGAGAGTGTGATGGATTGTGTATTTTGGCCCCAGCAGCACCCTATAACGTATGCATGTTCAGGTGAGTGCAGCCCTCTTGGAGTGCCAAGCTTCCAAAATTTGATATATATTAATTTATTTATTTTTTAAACCACATGAGGTTTTAAGTGTTTTTAAATTATTATTTTTAATGCACAAGGTCAGTGGCTACTGTGGAATGTCGAAACAAAAACAAAAACAAAAACAAAAAAAATATATTGTGATTTCTTTTTGAAATGAGCAAAAGCTGGAGTAGGGCATTAGATTGGTTTAATGCAAAGGTAGGTAGGATTAAGATGATAAAGTGGGGAAATGATGTGGAATTATGGATATAAAACAGTAAAGCTGTGGTAGTTAATTGGAATGAGGGTAATGATTGTGTTTGGTTTCAGATTGGGGATATATGGTTGGAAGAAGCAAGATTGGGGACTAGGGGATAAAACCGATGTTAAGAATATTGGATTAGGAAGTGAAAAATGGAGAAAGGTTGTATATGGCATATGGAAGGCAAAGTTGAGTAAAAACTTAAAAAAATGAAGTTAGTGTAAACCAAGTATACAAATAAAAAGATGGGATGTGATTTGTGATTGGGGTCAGACTCTTGTGGAGCATGAGGGTTATAAGGCTTGAGTAGGGCATTTGATTTTATTACTTTACACTGATTAGCCACAACATTAAGACCACTTGTCTAATATTGTGTAGGTCCTCCTCGTGCTGCCAAAATAGCTCTGATGCATTGAGGCATGGACTCCACAAGACCTCTGAACATGTCCTGTGGTATCTGGCACCAAAACATTAGGAGCAGATCTTTTAAGTCCTGCAATTTGCTAGGTGAGGCCTCCATCAATAGGATTTGTTGTTCCAGCACATCCCACAGATGTTCAATCACATTAAGGTCTAAGGGATTTGGAGGCCAAGGCAACATCTTAAACTTTTTGTCATGTTCCTCAAAGCATCCCTGAACAATTTTTGTTGTGTGGCAGGGAGCATTATCGTGCTGAAAGAGGCCTCTGCCATCAGGGAACACCATTGCCATAAAGGGGTGCAACATTCTCTAGGTAGGTGGCATGTATCAAACTAACATCCACTTGAATGCCAGAACCCAAGGTTTTTCAGCAGAACATTGTCCAGAGCATAAACCTGCCTGCGTCAGACTGCCTTCTTCTCCAAAAGAAAAGTCTCCACTTCCTTGTTAAAAAAAAAAAAAAAAAGGACTGCCTTTTAGAAGAAACCTCAGGTGTGCCTGGATAGCTCTTTCTCTCTCCCTCCCCCCTCCACCACCCCATTTGAGGTCTTTGGGGATTGGCCCTACCTTTCTGGAACACGCTGCAGGAAGTATTCCCCCTTTTTTAGTGTGTGCACTACTCTTGTTTTTTTTTTTTGCAGACAATGTTTCCCATAGTGCATCTGGCTGATATCTCTTCTCAGCCATCTGATCTAAAAGAAAACATTAATCGACACAGGCAGCTTTCTACCATTGATCCACGGTCCAGTTCTGACACTTGCCTCTTAATTGAAGGTGCTTTCGGCAGTGGAGAGGAATATTCATGTGCACTGACTGCTCTGCGGCTACGCAGCCGCATACACAGCAATCTGCTATGCACGGTGTGTTCTGACACTTTTCGATCATGACAAGCATTAAGTTTTCAGCAATTTGAACTATGGTAGCTCTTCTGTGTAATTAGACCAGATGGACTAACCTTCACTCCTCACGTAATCAGTGAGCCTTAGGTGCTCAAGACCCTCATGCCAGTTCACCAGCTACCCTTGCTTGCACCACTTTTGGTATGTACCAACCACTGCACACTAGGAACACCCCACAAGACTTGTTATTTTGGAGATGTTCTGATGCAGTCGTCTAGCCATTACTAATTGGCCCTTGTCAAAGTCACTCAGATCTTCCCATTTTCCCTGCTCCAACACATGAAATTCCACAACAGACTGTTTACTTGCTTCCTAATAATTCCCACCCCTTGACAGGTGCCACTGTAACAATATAATCAATATCATTCACTCCACTGTCAGTGATTTTAATGTGGCTGATCAGTTTACGTTGAGAAGATTACTTTCTATAGGTCACCAAATGCTATCAAAAACAGTGCTTACTAGGTGCTAAGAGTTATGTGTCCTTTACATACAGTCAGGAATGGTTACTTTCTATAACCAACAACTCTAAACCAAGCGTTTCACAGGTCCATTTTAGGGACTTTTGTTAGTTAAAACAAATTATATATTTTATTTAACTTATCTATTAAAGTCCCAGACATCAGGCTCCAACCGAGGCATGTTTTTGGAATAGACATTATGCCTTAAAGACCTGATTCTGAAACCAACTACCACATGGGTGCATTGTGATCACTAGAATGAACACATTTGTTCTCCTGACTGACAAGGCTCATTTGCAGAATGAATATTCCTGGTAGTTTTAAAGTGTAAAGCAACATTATAATGTAAGGTTTTATTGTGGCAATAGAATGTAGGTACCTCTACAAGAAATGGCAAATGTAAACTATAATTTACATGTAGCATTATAAAATCACACGTTTTACCTTCATTTCTCCACTTCCTCCTGAGCTAATCACATTTCTCCATCCCTGCTCTCTTGCTCGGTTTATCCGATCCATCTAGGAGGAAGGGGTGTGCAACAAACAAATACATAAATACAAATATTACAGCAGTTGTGATTGCAATTACTCTCACAATGGTCACAGAACATGACATTTAAGATGGAGCAGATATCTTAGAATCGTTAAGATTGCGGCACAAAGAAAGAGGGCTAGATCAATTTCAAAAATTACAAATTGAACAAGTCCTGGGATATAGAAACATAGAATGTGACGGCAGATAAGAACCATTCGGCCCATCTAGTCTGCCCAGTTTTCTAAATACTTTCATTAGTCCCTAGCCTTATATTATAGTTAGGATAGCCTTATGCCTATCCCACGCATGCTTAAACTCCTTTACTGTGTTAACCTCTACCACTTCAGCTGGAAGGCTATTCCATGCATCCACTACCCTCTCAGTAAAGTAATACTTCCTGATATTTTTAAACCTTTGTCCCTCTAATTTAAGACTATGTCCTCTTGTTGTGGTAGTTTTTCTTCTTTTAAATATAGTCTCCTCCTTTACTGTGTTGATTCCCTTTATATATTTAAATGTTTCTATCATATCCCCCCTGTCTCGTCTTTCCTCCAAGCTATACATGTTAAGATCCTTTAACCTTTCCTGGTAAGTTTTATCCCGCAATCCATGAACCAGTTTAGTAGCCCTTCTTTGAACCCTCTCTAAGGTATCAATATCCTTCTGAAGATACGGTCTCCAGTACTGTGTACAATACTCCAAGTGAGGTCTCACCAGTGTTCTGTACAATGGCATGAGCACTTCCCTCTTTCTACTGCTAATACCTCTCCCTATACAACCAAGCATTCTGCTAGCATTTCCTGCTGCTCTATTACATTGTCTGCCTACCTTTAAGTCATCAGAAATAATCACCCCTAAATCCCTTTCCTCATATGTTGAGGTTAGGACTCTATTAAATATTCTGTACTCTGCCCTTGGGGCTTAAATTCAAACCATCAGAAATTCCATGAAAGAAATTAAAGTGAAGAAATAGCCAATAATAAGAAAAACACAGTCTTTGAATTCTATGGTTTTACATATCAGGACAGAATACCAATCATCTGTACCTCAGCAGGTTATAAAATTAGGTAACAACACCCATTGTGTCATGATTTAACAAAAATCAAGCCAAAACAGAGAAGGCATATGTGAAAAACTAAGTGCACCCTTACTGCACAGGAATTAAGAGATTACGTAGCAGACAGGTTCTGCTAATCAAATGCATTTGATTAATTGATCATCAGCAACTGTGCCCACCTCTATAAGAGCCAAAGTTTTAGCAGTTTGATGGTCTGGATCAGTCAGGTGTTTGTAAACACATTGACAAGGAGGAGCCATAACCGCATGGTCTTAGAGAAGGAATTGTTGCTGCCCATCAAACTAGGAAGGGTTAAAAGGGCATTTCCAAACTATTTAAAGTCCATCATTCTACAGTGAGAAAGATTATTCAAAAGTGGAAAACATACAAGACAGTTGCCTATCTTCCCAGGAGTGGACATCCCAGCAAATTCACCCCATCACACCATGCAATGCTCAGAGAAATCATCATCATCTCTGACTCAGCATGTTAAATGTTAAACGTTCATGACAGCACAATTAGAAAGAGACTAAACAAGTATGGTTTGTTTGGAAGGGTTGCCTTTTGGTTCTACAAAGAACATGGCAGCATGACTTAGGTTTGCAAGGTTACATCTGAACAAACCACACGACTTCTGGAACAATGTTCTTTGGACAGACCAGACCAAGATGTTTGGCCATAATGCACAGTAAAACGTCTGGTGAAAATCCAATACAGCATATCAGCACAAACACCTTATCCCAACTGTCAAGCACGGTGGGGGAGGGGTGATTATTTGGGCTCGTTTTGCAGCCACAGTACCTGGGAACCTTGCAGTCATTGAGTCGACCACAAAATCCCCTGTATACCAAAGTATTGTAGAGTCAAATGTGATGCCATTGGTCCAAGAAAATTGGGTTATGCAACAGGACAATGTTCAAAGCACAGCAGCAAATCTACAACTGAATTGCAGAAAAAGAAAAGAATCAAGGTGTTGAAATGGTCTAGTCGAGGCTTCCTCAAACTCTGGCCCTCCAGATGTTCTTGAACTACATCTCCCATGATTCTATGAATGAAATAGATCGGCTGAGAATCATGGGAGTTGTAGTTCAGCAACATCTGGAGGGCCAGAGTTTGTGGGAAGCCTAGTCAAGTCAAAGGCCAGACCTCAACTCTATTGAAATGCTGTGGTGGAACCCTAAGAGTGCTGTGCATAAGGAAATGCCAGCAAACCTCAATGAACTAAGCATCTTGGTACCTCCAACCGTGCCTCAAGTTCTGGTTATGTACCTTATATATCCACAGTTCCTGCTCTTGTGCATCTTGTTTCATTATTATTTGTGTGTAATGATAATTATAATGCTTAAATTATAATTTGTCGTATCTTTCAATCTTTGTGTTATGGGTTCTTTCATAATTTACTCCTCTAGCTTTGTGGTTTCATTGTACATCGGTTCCCATAAACCCCTTTCTCAGCTCATGAAGATCACTCCAAAAGACCCAAATCTGAACTTTTAAATTCAAGGAAAAGGAGATGTCATATATCCTACACGATCGATATGGCATTACGGTGTTCTTATGTGGGTGGTCCGCATAGTATAGAAGCCTGGAGCAGGCAGCAATAAGAATGCTGCACGCGCCTTATTGGATTGTAGAAATGATGTGGATGAATTAAAGTTCACCTAACCACTTAAATAGTGTTTTTGGCGTAATCCCATGCCCTGTTGTGGTTTGCGATTAGTGCATTTTCTTTAGATTTCTGACTTCTGGTAAAGACTTTTTTCATTGACTCTGAGTATCAATTATCCTGAGCTTGGCTAGTTTTCCAGTTTCTTCATATCTCTTTAACCCAAACGTTTGCTTGATCAGTTTATAAATAGTTTCTGTATTCAAGCATTAGTCCAGCCACTTTAAATGTTCAAATACGTTCTATACGGTATTCTCGGATTTTGATCCAAGTTCTGCATGGTGTGGTACAATATTTGTGACATTACATCAGGGCTATGCTCAATAAGATTGAGAAGTTGTGCCATCATATGGACCAATTCGCCCAGGCACTTCATATTCTCCTGACACATACCACTTATCTGATACCTAAAAAGCCAGACCACTGCTTCTCCCCCAACTATGCCAGTAGTGGTTGATTCTTCCAGTATACAAAGTCCTTCAGTGCATTGAATTCTTCCCCTAGATATGGCTAGGACCCCAAGACCTGTAGGGTCTTCAATAATCAAATTGTTTTTTTACATTGAAATGTCTCCCAGATCATTTCCTATAGATTGTGCTAAAATTGGCTTTGTAATGAACCTACACATGGATAGGGCTCCAAGCTTTGGCTATCAGTAATGGGAGGCAAAAAAAAAAAAAAAAATAGTATATAATTACCAGAAGTCTATAACAGCCTTTCATGTATCTATGTGTATTCAATGCTCATAGCTTATCCCGTAAGTCTGCCAAGGACCGAATGATACTCTAAATTTCCATTGGCTTGCTACAGAATTGAACAAATATCAAGTTCTCATCTACATCTTGTCAGGTTGTGTTGGGTTTTCCTTGGTTAGCAAACACCCATAAGAAGCATTGAAGGCCTGATGTACACGCATTCCCACGCATGTGTATTAGGTACACCTCGCGCTGATGTTGGAGGAGGCAGAATTGGGTGTTTAAAGGGTTATTTAACTCTTTCTTTGCAATGGGGTGGGGGCTGGGGAGGGAGAAGAATATTGTGGGGGCAGCTTTGTACTCCTAACACTAAAGTGTTCCTATATATGCTATCAACATGCCTGCAGCTCTTTGTAGACTGGATGAATGTACAGTTGACTTCAAACCTGGCACTGTTCCACCCAAAGGAAAGATTCCCTAGGAAAATGTAATAATGGAGGAGTACATAAAAGAAGCCTTAGAGACAGGATCTATCTGAAGGCCTTCTCCTGCTGGGGCAGCCTTTTATGTTTCAAGAAAAAGAGAGTGATCTGAACGCTTGTATAGATTAAAGGGGTCTTAATGAAATCACCATATGTCATAATTACACAATTCTTTTGATTTCTGAGTTGTTTGATAGGTTGCAAAGTGTCTATATCATGACCAAACTTGATCTTTAGGGAGTATGCATAAAGGAGGAGAATGAATGGAAGACCGCTTTTAACACCAAGAGCAGGTATTATGAAACAATTCATGTTTTGTGAAGCCAAACAGGAGCTATTAAAATGATTAGTGCACCAAAACAGGAAGATGTAATTACAGTGTAAAAATAATTTTACCAAGACTGATATATTTAGCTTTTGCTAGATATCAAGCATGTTCTGGGTTCTAAATATTATCATTATTATACAGTTAAATCATACATTTTATATAATTTCAATAAGTGCAACCCTCCAGCTGTCCAAGACTTTATTAATGTCCTCAGAGATTACAGCCATTTTTGGGTCAACGTATACTTGGATGATATCCTGATGCATTCTCTTAACATCACTATATTTCCTAAGCAAATAAAAATAACTTACAAAAAAAAAAACACAAGTACTACACGCACTAATATAGAACAGTCTTTATTGTCACCTAGAAAATTGCTTATTTGGTCAAACGGAAATCCAATTTTTGGGGTACATAATCTTTTCCCTTAATTTTGGAGGGTATTGCTGAAAACGAGACTTGATACTCACTGGAGCGATCACAGAGAACACCTGTGGAGGCATCCTGCAGATTGGCTTATGGCCATCTGCACATTCGCCGGAAGTGGTTTAAAAAACCAGCAGGAAGTTTAATGACTTGTATTTGCAGACAGAGAGAGAGACCTGTGTGGAAGTCTGAGCAATGCAAATTTTATTTGGTCTGAGTACCTGCAGTTTTTTTGTTTTGTTTTTTTTTTTTAACCATCCTTAGGTTTTAATATCTGAAGAAAGAATTTTCTGGTTTCCTGCTACAGAGGCCATCCTCTACAATTAGTTGGAAACATAATGTGCCAGTATTTGATGTAAAATTTGTAAGTGCAATATATTCATTAATATTGTTCATTTATTGGAAGCTCTGCACTATTTCTCTTCCCTTTTTTGTTTTGAGCTACATGGTTACTGTATACTGGGAAGATAACAGAGATACCATCATAACTCTAGATAAGTGACAAGCCTACCATTTGAATACTCTTGTGAGTGCAATATAGTTATCTCTCACAGTTATCAACATAGAATATTGCAATGTTTATTTATGTATTTGTAGATCTTATATTTTTTGTATTTCCTCCAGGCAGGAGGAACATTCAGCTAAGCCATAAATGCACTTGGGAGCAGTTTCACCATTTCTTGGAAAAATCTGTCCTTCAGTACAAGGCCCAAGCAGACAAATGCAATCATGCAGCTCCTTCCTTCTAAATAGAGGATATTGTAGAACTCTCTGCAGATAATATCAATCTCCAAGTTCCTTCTATGAAATTTGCACGTCAGTTCATTGGTGCTTTGAGAAATCTAAGTAAGATCAACGAAGTATGGTACGCCTTGAATATACCAACATAAATGTGCATTCTCAACATATTTCACACCTCCTGGTTGAAAGCTCTCCTTTGCAAAAGATATACTATGACTGGAACTTAAACTCTTCTAGTACCTCAACTGATAGAGATGTTGGAGTTGAAATGTAAACTTCTCGTTTCTTTCAAAGTAATCTTCAGTACCGCACGTAGTGGAAGGGTTATGGTCCAGAGGAGCGCAGTTGGGTGTCCGCTGGCTGACTGATATGCCCCTTGTCGTGTATGTATCCTATATTCCAGTTTTTCTGCCAAGCCTGGTCTTTCATATACTTTCCTTTTGACACAGAGCTCTGGAGTTCTTGTGTGGGTGTTCTGTGCCGATCGGGAGGCTGGAGCCCAAATTTGGCAGCAATGAGAACCTTGCTACACCCACTGGCTGTCAAAACAACAGGTTCTGTTACTTCCTGGTTTGTTTAGCTCAGTGGAGCTAAACTCAAAGGCAATTGCCCAGAGAACCTGCCTTGCAACAACTTCAAATTTAGCAGCATTGGGAAGTTTAGCAGCATTCAAGGAGGGATAAGCCATATGGCAAATGATTTAGGTAAACTAGAAAAATGGTCAGAATTGTGGCAACTGACATTTAATGTGGATAAGTGCAAGATAATGCATCTTGGACGTAAAAACCCAAGGGCAGAGTACAGAATATTTGATAGAGTCCTAACCTCAACATACGAGGAAAGGGATATAGGGGTGATTATTTCTGATGACTTAAAGGTAGGCAGACAATGTAATAGAGGAGCAGGAAATGCTAGCAGAATGCTTGGTTGTATAGGGAGAGGTATTAGCAGTAGAAAGAGGGAAGTGCTCATGCCATTGTACAGAACACTGGTGAGACCTCACTTGGAGTATTGTACACAGTACTGGAGACCGTATCTTCAGAAGGATATTGATACCTTAGAGAGGGTTCAGAGAAGGGCTACTAAACTGGTTCATGGATTGCGGGATTAAAAAAAAAAACCCAACAACTTACCAGGAAAGGTTAAAGGATCTTAACATGTATAGCTTGGAGGAAAGACGAGACATGGGGGATATGATAGAAACATTTAAATATATAATGGGAATCAACACAATAAAGGAGGAGACTATATTTAAAAGAAGAAAAACTACCACAACAAGAGGATATAGTCTTAAATTAGAGGGACAAAGGTTCAAAAATAATATCAGGAAGTATTACTTTACTGAGAGGGTAGTGGATGCATGGAATAGACCAAAAAGAAAACGACTAAAAAAAAAAAAAGGTCTAAAGATACTTAGGCCAATAGTTGAAGGGTGGACTATATGGGTAAGATGGAATAGCCTGCATGGAATAGCCTTCCAGCTGAAGTGGTAGAGGTTAACACAGTAAAGGAGTTTAAGCATGCGTGGGATAGGCATAAGGCTATCCTAACTATAAGATAAGGCTAGGGACTAATGAAAGTATTTAGAAAATTGGGCAGACTAGATGGGCCGAATGGTTCTTATCTGCCGTCACATTCTATGTTTCTATGTTTGTCTGTGATTAGACAGCCACAGAGAGCCTGGGTTGAGGAAGAAAGGGGGCTTGCAAAAGCAGCAGACAAGAAATCTGGAACTTATGAAAGCTGTTTGGAGTGTTTTTATTTTTTATATTTGGACATTGGAGTGTCCCTTTAATTAGTGTGCCATCAAAGCTAATGCTTTCAGATTCAAATAGGGGCGTAGAGACTTGGTCAAATGGTCTGATCTCTGATTATAATCAAATATTAGCATGTTAACATGAACCGACAGTCAATTCATATTTTGTGAGGACAAATAGGAGCCACTAAAATGATTAGAGTGCATGTCAATGATTAGTGCACCAAAACAGGATGTAATAACAATGTAAAAAGTATTTCACCAAGATGGATATATTTAGCTTTTGCTAGATAACAAGCATGTTCTGGGTTCTAAATATTTTTATTATACAGTTAAATTATATAAATTTTATTGATCCTCAGAAAAGTGAAAGGACAAGCTGACTTTGTTGGAACCAAACTGGTGACAATCAAGCTCTAACTCCTGGGCTTTTTTTGTAAAATTACAAAGAATAAAAAAAACCGGACACAAATGATGTGGATCCAATAAGTAATGTACCAGTACCACCTAGTGGTGTTAACCTAGAAAAGCATCCTAAAAAATAAAAAATGAAAAATATCAACTAGCTTCCACGTACAAATGCTAATTAAAGTGTTAAACTAAACAGAATAATGAGTATTGGACTTCAGAGACATCCTTCATGGCAATGACACTTCCTGACACCACTGACAGTTTTATTGGAGAGGGACATTAGATATTTACTAAAGGCAAGCTGCAAGAGTTAAGGACACAACAGCCTCTAATAGAGGCAAAGCCTTCTATTGCCCAAATGAAAAATAAAATTCACTGTTTACTAGATATATCCCAAATGAATACTTGCATGCCTTTAATTATGCATTAATTATATCTAAAAACAGTTAGCAAAGACTGCATATCTCCTGCCTGCTGGCTTTGCAAGCCCTCCCCTTCTAATCCTGCCCAGACTTTCTGTGACTGTCCAATTATAGACTTCCCAATGCAGCACAAAGAGAAGCCTGTGCAGGTCAGATGATCTAGGCAATTTTCTGCTTCCTGAGTTTCGTTCTACTGAGCTAACCAAACCAATAAGTAACAGGACATGAAGAAGCTTCAACTTCTCCCATCTCATGGACCTTGGAAGCTTCAAACATCTGTCTATGAAGATTTGCTGTTCTTTATTATACACCAACCATAAGTAGCAGAGATCATAGACATAAGGATGTAAGGTACAGGGCCTCATTGTATAGACCTACATGCAGAGGAATATGGTTTGTGATGTGGATGTCGTGTTATCAATGGGTATAATGTAGTTTAGTGATCAGTGGAATCTAAAAGCTGTATGTTACACAATACCCGACTCCTGATAAATTTGGGTCTGAATTATAGAACTAGAATAAGATTGAATTTATCAGGAATAGTGATGTCCCGAACGGTTCGCCGACAGTTCGCCACGGACTCATCATTGAGTAAACTTTGACCCTGTACCTCACAGTCCGCAGACACATTCCAGTCAATCAGCAGCAGACCCTCCCTCCCAGACCATCCCACCTCCTGGACAGCTCACTAAGAATGCAGCTTCACAATGAATGTAAAATGGATGCTGTCCAGGAGGTGGGAGGATCTGGGAGGGAGGGTCTGCTGCTGATTGGCTGGAATGTGTCTGCTGACTGTGAGGTACAGGGTCAAAGTTTACTCAATGATGAGTCCGCGGCGAACCGTTCGGCGAACCATTCGGGACATCACTATTCAGGATCTACTGATAAAACAAAGCAATTAAAACAGACAATGGCATGAAAGGAAAGAAAAAAAAAATGGAATGGAGAGCAGAACATTGTAGCATGAACAGTAATACTAGACTGCAGACAAGCATGGTCATTAAACTATGCTAAAATTAAACAGCTGAATGGCCTGCTTTTGATTGCTTTCAGCTAAATTTGATATTTTAAGTGTTAAGAATTTAAAGGGTTAAAGAAAAGCACAAAAAATATGGACACTAAGAAAATAACCTATTCATTCTACATTTCTCATTTTTGCATGTTGCACATACAGTGGACCTCGGTTTACAAATTTAATGCGTTCTCCGGAACGTTTCTTATTGCGAAAAATATGTAAATCGAAAAGCGCTTTTTCCATATGAATGCATTGAAAACCAATTAATCCATTCTGGAGGTCATAAAGTCAAAATGAGCTGGCATGGAAACCCACCCACAATGCAGAACACACAATAAAAGGAGGCAAATGACAAAGCTCAGCTCCCTACCTTTCCACAGCTTGAGAAATGCACCAAAAAGTCCCAAAACAACTGCAAACTATTTCCAGAAGGCCTCCAAAACTCGATGCAAAAGCCGCTCCAACACCTCCACACTCGATGCCACGTGCTACCCACTGGCTCCAGCATGCGGGGGGCGGTGCTATAAACCTCCCAGGTGCAATGCATCCTGGGGAAACTTGCCTTGTATTGCAAATAAAATTGTAAACCGAGGCATTATTTTCAATGGATTTTCATTTGTAAACCGAAAATTATGTTAACCGAGTCGTTTGTAAACCGAGGTCCCACTGTATTGCCATTACTTCATGATGGCAGCCAAGCAAATATCCAGTTCCTACTCTCAACTATTGGTAACCTGGGAGAAGTATAAAATAAATTAGAAAATGAGACATACGTTGTTATAGGTTTAACCCCTTAAGGACCAAACCTCTGGAATAAAATGGAATCATGACATGTCACACATGTCGTGTGTCCTTAAGGGGTTAAAGGGACACTACAGTCAACAACAAAAAACGTTCACTTAATGGACAAGTTTTAGTGTATACATCATGCCCCTGCAGTCTCAATGGTCAATTCTCTGCCATTTAGGAGCTAAATCACTTTGATTATGCAGCCCTAGGCACACCTCCCTGCATGTGACTTGTACAGCCTTCCTAAACATTTCCTGTAAAACATAATCCAATGTTTACACTTTATTGTAAACTATGTTTAATTTAGAATTTATCATCTTCTGCTCAGTTAATAGCTTGCTAGACCCTGCAGTAGCCTCCAGTGTGTGATTAAAGAAAAATTCAGAGAGCAGGAGAGAAAATTACTTTAAAAGTTTTTAACAGCTGATTGAAAATAAAACCATTTTGCTTTTCATTTTGTGTTAGTCACAGCCAGATGTGTGGCTAGGGCTGCATAAAGAGAAATAAAGGTGATTTAAGCCCTAAATGGCAGAGAATTGAGCAGTAAGACTTCAGAAGCATGATCTATACACAAACTGGTTCATTAAGCCAATGTTGTTTTAGGGACTGTGACTTTAAATATAAATTTGTTTTGTAGTTTTGCATTTTGTATCAGGTTAAAAGCACACTCTAGGCACCATAACCACTAGAGTTTCCACACACCATCCCAATGTTCAGATAAAAAGTTTTTTTAATTCCTTATCGCTGAATGAGAACCGTCAGTTACCCACAGCCCGGCCCCTCATTGCTACTCAGCTGATGCTTCTGCATTATCTCAAGCAGCAAAGGGCAACCGTGACTGGCTGAGAGTGTCAGCTGACCAATCTTAGCCTATCACATGTGCCTATCACTGGTATGAGTTGATATGGCTTAGACTAAATTTAACTTTGCTTAGCCATACCTCCAATGGGGACCAGGCGGTGGGCTGTGTTGAACCTTTGAAAATTACAGGATTGTATGTTGGTTAAGAAAATGGATGTAGGTTACAACTAAACAGCAGGTTATTGAAATTAAATAAATAAGCAACATGTGTATATTAGCACATCCATAAAGAATTCATGAATTAATGCACAAACTTAATGACGCAGAATTGCAGTGGAATTCAGTGACAACCACAGAAATTACAAATATTTTTTTTCCCCATATACTGCTATTTGCCACTGGGTTTTCAAGACACCATTTAGTGAATAAGCAGTCTTGGATGGTCACATTTTAGGAATCCTTAACCAAACAAATGTATGTGCTGGATACTAGTTACTCTAAACACAGTGTATGAGAGTAGGCAGAGCAGAGCTCTACATGTGTAGAAAACAAGAAAATAAAAAAAATAAAAACAGAATGCATGTCCAACATACATAGAGTAATGTAAACATCTTCATTTTGAGTTTTCCGAAAGGCTTTAGGCGATAACTGCATGTCCATACATGCTTATTTTGCAGATTTGTGGATTTCAAGTAAAATAAGAATTTTATAAATCTCTTTAGACTTACGTCCTTACTAAGGGTCTTGTAGTAACACCTCATGGCCATCAAGCAGACAGCCAGGAGGGTTTCCTACCACACTAGATTTGAACTGTAGTTCAAAGTGAAAGGGAGTGCTTTGGAGCTGCAGAAACTCTAACAGATTTAAACCCTTTCATGGATTCAAAATAAGAGAAGAGCAGAAATTTTTACAGGTTTAAATAAAGTATAGAGTTTATATTTTGTATATGTTCCTTTAAGTGTCAAGAGGAAATGTATTTCGGTTAAAATTTACTGAACCCAAACTAAGTTAGCAGTAATATGTGATGTGAAGGAAGACAGTTAGTAATAACATCATACCCGCTCTTTTTCTAATCTTCTCAATTGTTCAGCCTTCAGCAAATTCATCTGAAATAGATGAAAATATTTAAAAAATGAAGTCAAAACATCAATATCAAATAAAGGTTGATTTTCACAAAGCGGCAGTAGACGTACCTGCTCCCTCTGTCTTTTTTCCTTCTCGAGTTGTCTCATGTCAAGTCTCTTTTTCTTACCTGGATCCTGCAAGATATTAAACTCCTATTACTAAGCACACACTGTGCTAGGCCACACTCAGACAGGTAGGTTAGTGAAATCACAGGTCAGCAACAGAAACTTGGTTAGAAGGCATGACTGGGAAGAACCAAGGAGGAAAGGTTTGAAGGTTTTCATTTATATATAAAAGAGGTCAGCGCTAGAACAGCCTGCACCATATAAATGCATTTTCAGGACCCTCCAGCTCAGCATAGGGTTAAAATTAGTTCTTGAGCTTGAAGGAAGCAGGAGGGACAACTTTGTACCTCAAACAATTTCCTCCTTTCTTCTACTGGATTCACTTTCTTCATTGGTACATGTTGAGCCTGAACAAAAAGCGAAACTACAAATTAGATAAGAACATTTCAAAACTTTAAAGAAACCTTGGTATTTTAAAGAAAAGTTTAAGATGCCAGTTCTGAACAATTTTAGAACTTAGCCCTTTTTCGGTTATATATGAACAGTTTTTGGGCAATCAACTACATCAATCAATATACTCTAGAAAGGCAGCTGTAAAAAAAAAACAAAAAAAAAACTAAGACAACTAACCTTGCTGTACAATATATATATATATATATATATATATATATATATATATATATATATATATATATATATATATATATATATATATATATATAATGTATCTTGCTAGGCACAGTTACATGACAGTTAAACAACAGGGTGACAAGATGCAGAGTTTCATGAGATATATAGTTCACAGATTAAAGGATATCGAGATTGATATAGTTTTTGAATTTCACTAGACACATTTATGGACCAAATGAAACTTCTCTTCAATAATGCAATACAATGTTAAGCATCATTTTATGTAATCACATGATCTCTAGGGACTATTGAAACCTGTGTAAACAAAAGATAAACCGTACTGGCAAATACTGGTATAAAATACCATATTAACATAAACTACAATAAACGCAAACTTAAACAGTGGGCTCGGGAGGGGAGTAAGGGCGAAAGAGAGAGATACGGAAGAAAATGACACAGAGGAGATGAGTGGACCCCAGCGAGCTCTGGAGTAGCGTGGAGATGGGTCGCTTGTCCCCCTGGCCTCGCCCCCCCTTTCCTCTCTCTCCTATTTTTCCTTTTTTCCCTCTACATTTCTCTCTCCCTTGAAACTCAAGGGAATTCTTAAAATGAAAGTCTTAATATATGCTTGAATGCTCGTACAAAAAAAAAAATATATATAAACCCTCGGTGGAAAGTACGAGGTGTGAATCAGCCATAAGCAAAATCTGACAAGCCAGATTGTCGTTGGCATGTTAATGTTTTTCCTGCCAAGTGAAAAATAAAGAATTAAAAAAAAAAAAAAAAAAATTTTTTTTTTTTAAAAAAAAAGCAAACTTAAGTCTGCCCATGGATAAAGTAATTTTCAGAGAACATGTAACGCCATGAAACACATCCCTGGCAGTAAACAGCAGACTGGAGCTTTAATCAAATGACTCACAATGTAAAGAAATAAATTTATATGTTCAGTTTTTGTACTATGTCTGAAATGCAATAAAAGGGGGGTAAGAAATATAAGAAGTACTTTAATTATATACAAGGCACACATCATACATTCATATTGTGTTTTTTCCACCAGACTTTCTTAAATAAAAAATAAAGGACATGTAACCGCTGCTGGTTCCCCTATTTACCACTAAAATGTCTAAAAGCATGTAATATTTGCATAATATTTGTAATATAAACTAGTAATATTTGCATATGCCAATAACAGGCATTGTCACATAGGCTTACACCAGAACACTGTCAAGTACAGTGGAATCTGGAACAGCTCTCGTTCTCAACCCTGTAACACTTGTAGTCCCTTTCACAGACTCTGGAACAGCATGGAAATAGCAACAGTTCATTAAGCAAGATGTATGTAGCTCTAGTTAGAGGTGATCCGGTTTGTTTTACAGTCACTATTAACAAATGTGCTCACCTGTCTGTGTCTGATCTGTGGCTTCCGGTCATGGTGCTTTTTTAAAGCATCCGCTGATTTTGTTAAAGGCACTCCGTACTTAGCGGCTGGTTTGGTGATTTTGTGGGCAGGGGAGGGAGATGGCATGGCTTGTGCTGGAGCTGGCCTTTTACCTGATTACAGAAAAATATTTAAGCCTTTATTTCAGTATTTAGAGTGACCTGCTCAAAAAGAATCTTGCAATCCCAAAGAAATGTAAGTGCACAAGTCAAATACCTAGCTCCATATTATTTTAATCACTGCTGAAGTTCTGGCAGTACAACTAGTTATATGGAAGTTTGACAAACTGAACGCCTGTTCCTAACCATGCATTACTTACAATCCAATAAATCGTATTCCCGGACAAATGCATATATCTGTACACATGCACCTTCATTAAGCTAATGAAATAAAAAAATTTAAAAAAACAATAAATAAATAAAAATATATTAGGATATTTGGAGGTTTTATTTTTAAAAACCCTCTTGGTCTAGCACATAAAAAAATAATTGTATCAGAAGGTTCATCGGTCGGTCATATTATGTATAACCATAGGTGATTAAATAGTACACAAGAAATTAAATGTTCATTTTTTATTCCTGCTAAAAGCCAAATCGGCTTTATGATTTCATTTGACATCTGATGCAACAGAAAGGAAGCAGGATCATTCGAACAAAGCAATCCTTTAAGAAAACATATTTTACATAATGCATTGATGTTACCATTTGTGTAAGACCTATATGGAAGCTTTTCAAAGATGTAAGTCAATCTGCAATGTTTAAAACAGCTCTGTTACTATTGAGTTTCTTATAAGCATTGGATCTTTCTGAAAAACCTTTTAGTTGTGTTTGAATTTCTTGAGATTCCAAAGCAATTAAACCATATCGTTTGGCATTCTTTGACAAAAGACTGGAGTTTCTGCCTTTTCCATTTCCCATCAGCCATGACGACAGAAAAACCCTTTAGTTGTGTTTGAATTTCTTGAGATTCCAAAGCAATTAAACCATATAGTTTGGCATTCTTTGACAAAAGACTGGAGTTTCTGCCTTTTCCATTTCCCATCAGCCATGACGACGGATGGGAGCAAGCATCATCTTGTGTGATGTGCAATAGATGCATCTGGTTTATTGCACAAGATCATTTACAGATTATACCATGGTCTTACAGGATTTTCCATAAACTCCATTTTGCACTCTTGTGGAAGCAAAAGAGTACAAGAGTGAGGTTTGCTCCTGACAGATGAAGTTGCCAGGAGCCGAAGATGATAACAGTGATCGGATGATCTTGCCAAGAAAAGACAGCTTAAGGGAAGTATATCTCCTTAACAGATAAGCAAACATGCCACATAGTGGGGTTTTGCTGGGAGAAAAGTGCAGAGACTCCAAAAATGACAGTGTTTCTTTAAGTTTACTTGATAAAGCATCTTTATGATTCAAATACTTAATACAATGAAGCTAGATTAGCAGAGTTATATTAATCATTACACAAAATCTGGCTCAACATGTGAGTTGCTCAAGATGAATATGGCACACTTACATCACAAAATATTTTACTTACCAGCTAATGCGTGACATATAGGTTTAGCTACATTTGGCCCGCCTCCCATGCCAAATTCTTCAGCAATAACCTTTAAAAAAAATAAAAAATAATAGCATAAACACAAATAAGGAAATGTAACACAGAGAGCACACTTTGTTTAAGGGCCTTTGCGTGGGGGCCACAAGACTATATGAAGCAATCTCGATGCTGTACCAATACTTGCTAGTTAGGGACAGAATGGAGAAAGACATGTGTCAGAGGCAATGGGAGGGTCAGCTAGCTAGGACCTTTTCAACTGCT